CATCCTCTGTCACTAGGTTGCCTCCCTCATTCAGTGAGTGTCCCACACTTTCCCTGACCTTCTTCTTGTTGCTAACTTACCTGAAGAAACCCTTCTTGTTACTGTTAACATCCCTTGCTAGCTGCAACTGCAGGTGTGATTTGGCCTTCCTGATTTCACTCCTACATGCCCGAGCAATATTTTTATACTCCTCCCCGATCCTTTGTCCAGTCTTCCACTTCTTGTAAGCTGCTTTTTTGTGTTTAAGATCACCCTCCTAGTGAAATAGTGTTTCCTAATATCCAACCTAGACCTCCCCCACTGCAACTTGAGACCATTACTCCTTGTTCTGTCATCTGCTACCACTGAGAACAGCTGAGCTCCATCCTCTTTGGAACGCCCCCCCCCTTCAGGTAGTTGAAAGCAGCTAACAAATCCCCCCTCATTCTTCTCTTCTGCAGACTAAACAATCCCAGTTCCCTCAGCCTATTCTCATACGTCATGTGCCCCAGCCCCCTGATCATTTTCATTGCCCTCCACTGGACTCTCTCCAATTTGTCCACATCCTTTCCGTAATGTGGGGCCCAAAACTGGACACAATACTCCAGGGGTGGCTTCACCAGTCCCAAATAGAGGGAACAATCACGTCCCTCGATCTGCTGGCAACGCTCCTACTAATGCAGCCCAATAGGCCGTTAGCCTTCTTGGCAACAAGGGCGCAGTGGTGACTCATATCCAGCTTCTCATCCACTTTAAACCCCAGGTCCTGTTCTGCAGAACTGCCTCTTAGCCAGTCGGTCCCCAGCCTGTAGCAGTCCCTGGGATTCTTCCTTCCTAAGTGCACTTGTCGTTGTTGAGGGCAGAGATAGGGTCCAGAGTGACCTAGATAAATTGGCGGATTGGGCCAAAAGAACTCGCATCTCCCCACCCCCACCCCCGAAAGTGTAGTGTCATCCACAAGCTTGCTGAGGGTGCAATTCATCCCATCATCCAGATCATTAAATGGGAGAAAGAATTAAACAGAAATCTGTGAAAAGTAACTGGGGACTGTAACAGCACTTCCTTAGCTGCTCCAAAAGCCACCATCCCACCCCGGAGAAAGAAGGCCGTAGTGGTTAAAACTAACCTGGCTTAGAGGAGAAGTCAGCTACAAACGCCGCATCTAACAAATGGAGGAAAGGGAGAGTTGATAGCAAAACTGTAACCCAGGAATCAGGAATTGTAGAAAATCAATAAGGGACAAAAGTAGAAACTTGTGGTCAGCAAATTTAAGGACATGAAGTTTTAAAAAGAATATTAAGCAAAGGAATCCTACCAGTGGTATTGGTGTATTATGAGACAGAACTGATACATTTGATCAATAATAATGCAGAAAAGGAAAAAGTGGTCAATAAATATTTGTATCCTGTATTTTGGGGAAAAAACATCCTGTCATCCTATCAAACAATGAGGCTGGCACTTGTTCCATTCTACCAGTATCACTGGAGGATGTTAAACAGCAGCTACTAAAATTAGACATTTATAAATCAGAAGATCCAGGTAACTTGTGTCCAAGAGTTTTAAAAGAGCTGGCTGAGGAGCTCACTGGACTGTTAATGTTGGTTTTCAATAAGTCTGGGGATGTTCCAGAAGAATGGAAGACAGCTAATGTTGTGCCAATATTTAAAAGGGCAAACGGGATGGCCTGAAGTAGTCTGTCACTCTGATATCAATCCTGGGCAGATGGGGGAGACCGTTTTGCAGAATACGCCACTCTGCCCCCATACGCCACAGCCATGCCAATGCCGCGCCGGCTACGCCACACCCGGAGGTCCAGGCATGGCCGGGGTTCCCTCCACATGGGAGAGGTGCCTTCCTCCCAGCTGGGTGCCTTCCAGCGACCACCTGCACCCTGCGGCGTTGCAGACGAACACGTAACAAGGGCTGCACGAAGGCCACCTAGGGAGGAAGCACCCATGGGCAGCGCCAGCGATGTTTCACAGCAGTATGGAGCCAGCTGCCAGGGCTGTGCACTGCCGAAGGTCCATTGCTGGCTGGACGAGCCCCGGACAGTTCCAGGCATCGCCTTTCCAGGCTCCCATGAGAGGCCAAACAATCCTCCATGTCCCCATGTCGTGGGTCAGCCCCAGTCCAGGTGCAGCAGGCCCTGGCCCTCCAGGTCCACCTCTGCCCCAGGTGCCAGCCCAGGCCTTGGGGATCAGCAGCAAGGGCCTGTTTGTTCTGTGCCGATTCCCTGGGCTGCTTCCTGCCTTTGCCCAGCTGCAGACATTGGTCGGAGAGCCGTGCTTGCCTGTCTCCTCCCGCCCGAGCTGCCAGCTCAGCATCTGCTCAGTTTGCTGCGGTGGGTGGGTGTTCTCAGGGGGCTCTGACCCGTGCTCAAGAGGTAACCGAGCCCTCCATTAACCCTTCCTGGCTGCCATCACAGCTGTACGGGCCAAGGCCAAGCCACGAGCCAGAGCCCACCTGGTGGCCCAGGATGGATTTCCCACCCCCTGGAGCCGAGTAGGCACAGACTTGGCTGCACTGGCTGGGAAAATGCTCCCATCCGTCTCGACTGCGTGTCCCTGAACCATCCTGGGCCGGGGCTGCTACAGACAAGGGGGGGGTCACGCTAACACATCTATCAGGCTGCACACAGACCACATGCCCAGAGTGCAGCCTGGCTGGGGTTTGCACGGCAGCCATGGCGCGGGGGGCATCCTGCTGACACCTGGGTTCAGAGCAGACTGAGCCCAGGCTGCCTGTCGTGCCCGGCGCGGATGTCAGAGATTTGCAGACACATGGCGACGGCTAACTGAAGCCAGCGGGCGGCTCCGGGGTCCCGGGTGGCCCCACATCCCACACACAAGGGCCGTGCACATTGCTGGGGGAACCCGGGGTGCAACCAGCAGGGGGGTCACATGAGGTCACACGTGGGGTCGTAGGAGGGTGTCACCCCAGAGGAACAGGCGACAGGGTGGCCAGAGCCCAGAAGGCGGGCGAGAGGGGCCCCCGAGTCGGTCTCAGGCAGGCACCAGCCCCCGGGCACCAGGGCACAGCAGGGCCACAGGAACTGGCCTGGTTCTCCTGGCATCCGAGGTGCTGCTTGGGTGAGAGACCCGCACGTCCAACGCCCGTGCAGGGCACCAAGCGCTCGGTCTCCACTGCTCGCTCTAGCTCCGCTCGGGCCCAAGCACTGCGCTCTCCTGCGCCTGGCTCCCCCTGCCGAGGCCAGGGCTCCCCCAGGCAGCACCTCCCAGCCCTGGGAGCAGCACCGGCCACGGGACCGTCCCACAGCGCTGGGGCGGGCACGGTGCCATCTCAGGGGGTGGGGAGACGCGGGCAGTCGTGCGCTAGAAATGCTGTGACCCCGTTCCCCGGCTGCGGGGGGAGGCGCCGCACTGCTTGGCCACAGCGTCACCAAGCACATAGGAGCGAGCCCTGCCCCGGCCTCCCTCGGGACCCTCTGGCTAAGTGCCGGGCTCAGCCGCGGCCTCCACGTCGCCCCAGGCAGCCAGCGGACGAGGGGAGGCCTGAGGCTTTGCTGGGGGAGCCGGGCCGAGCTCCCAGCACTGATGCCCCGGGAGGGGGGGGCATGGGCACTAAGGCGTTCCCTCCCCAGTGCTCACACCAAGGCCGCGCGGGGCGGGGGTCGGGGGGACGACTTGCTGATTTACACCCAGCCCCCAGGAGGGCAGGTGCTGCGTGGACACTGCGCCCTTTGTCGCCGGGCACCCCATCCGCTGGGCCCCTGCTGCGCCAGCCTGTGCCCGGCTCACCTCAGCCCCTTCGGGGCAGTGGAGGGCTGGGGCGGGGGCTTGCTGGGGGTGGGGGCTCCCCTGCCTGGGGCACAGCCCATGAGGGAGACAGGAACCTGGCATCATGCTGCTGTGGCCCTAACGCTGGCCCCCACCCAGGCCTCGGGGCTGGTGCCCGGCTCTGAGAGCCCACCCCTGCCCCGCCCCAGCAAGAGGCGCTCCTTCTCCCCGGCCACCTGTAGGCCCAGCAGCCGCATCACACAGCCCGTACCCTTGGCATGGGCGCCCGGGGGCGTGAAAGGGGCAGTTTGCCCCCCAAAGCTAAGCAGCACTGTGACCCGGTGAGCGAGGCCCCCAGAGCCTCACCGTTATCTGCCCTGCCAGGAGCTGGAGCCAGCCCCAGCCCCGGGACAGGGCCCGAGCAGCTGGTGGGTCCGAGCAAGGGCCAAGCATGGGAGCTCAGCCCCTGCGGTTTGCTTGTCTCCCAGGTGCCCTCTGCTGCCCACACGGCTTGTAGGTGGTGCCAGGCTACAGCCCCAGTTAGGGGGGCTGCACACGGGGGGACCCCAGGGATCCCCAAGGCAGGAAAGCCCCGTGAGGCTTGCACAAGCAGCAAGGGGCTGAGCCGCACCCCACCCTGAGGCCCTGCTAGTCACTTCTTGCCATGCCCACCGCTCTCTACCCCACATCTGTCTCGTGGCTCCACCGCAGAACAGGGGGGCGGGGGCATGGCTCTGCGTGTGGCCGGGGGGGAGGATTAGGCAGGGCCAGGGGTGGGGCAGGGCAGGGCTGGCGGAGGGCCAGGTGCAGGGATGGAGTACGACAGGCCAGGGCGGGAACCAAGAGTCCAGCCTGTAGCGGGGCAGCCAGCACCCGTCACTGGTTCCCTCCAGGCCAGGGGACGGGCACTAGCCAGGGAAAGCAGGGGAGGAGGCTGCCCCCGATACACCCCATATCCCCAGCAGCTGGGTCAGTCTGGGTTACAGCACCCACAGATCCACCAAGCGCTAGCAGATGCCCGGGGGGGCACCCCCTCCCACCCCACTCACTGACCCAGGGCCCCCTGACAGAGGCCCTTGGCTGCCCCTCGGCACCGCCCCCCGTGTGAGCCTGGCGATGCTGCAGCCCTGCGGGCCCCTGCACCCCAGGGCCCCACTCAGCCCTCTGTCCCCGCACCCTCCACAGCACTGCACCCCCTGCCAAGCCCCCACTCATGGCAGCCCAGCGATCCTGGTGCCACGGGGAGGTTGGGCCTGCCTCCCCCCACAGGGACAGGGCCCAGCATACTTTCAGAATACTTTATTTTGTACATATGGTTCATTAGCATACGGCAGTCCCACCCCCACTTGCACCCATGTGTGGAGGGTGCTGGCTGTAACCCTGGGACTGCGGGGCTGAAAGCTGGGGGGGGAAGCTTAGATTCGTGGCTCCTGGGCGTGAGGGTAGCATTACCCTGGGGGCAGGAGGGGCAGGATCTGGCTCCTGGGGGGTTCATAGCGGCGATGGCTGTGGGGCTCCCTAGGCACGGGGGTGCAGCCAGGATTGGGGGCTCCCCCGGAGACTAGCCCCCAGCACGGAGGGGGAACTGGGCTGGACACCCTCCCACCCGTGGGGTCTGCGCGGGGGGGGGAGGGACTTGCCGGGCCCTGGCAGTGCCATGATGGGCAGGCCTAGGGCATGCATCCCTGGAGTAACACAGAGTGAGACGCACCCACAGCCAGGGCCTGGCAGAGGCCAGGGCACGCCCCGCTGCCCAGACCCACGCCAGGCCGCTGCTCTGGGGCCTGCAGGTCCCACGACCCCTCCCTGCCCCCAGCGCTGGGCTCGGCAACCCCATCCCTGAACCCAGCCACAGAAATAAAGTGCAGATCAACCCTAGTGAGAAGGGAGACACAGGGAGGGAGAGAGGGGAACGTGGGGAGGGGTTACTGGAGGGCAGATCGGGGTGGGCTGGGGGAGGCCACAGTGGGAAGGCAGCTGGGGGTTGCTGGTGGGGTGCACAGCTGGGAGACACCGGAGAGGTGAGAGGTGCCAGGGAGCACAACGGGCTTTGCTGGCGGCACATGGGGGCAGCAGGTTGGCATTGCAGGGGGCACAGCAGGGCAGGGGGTGGGCATTGCTGGCGGGCACCGGGGGGCTGGGCAGGTGTTGCTGGTGGGCACAGGGGGCAGGCACTGCTGGGTGGCACCAGAGGCAGCGGGCAGGCGGTGAGGGGTTGCACTGGGGGGTGGGCGTTGCTGCGGGCACTGCTGGGTTGCACTGGGGGGCGGTGGTGCTAGGTTTTACAAGGGAGCGGGCGGTGCTGTGGGCATTGGGGGGCGGGCGGTGGTGCTATATTTTACAGGGGGGTGGGCGGTGCTGGGTTGTACAGGGGCGTGGGGGGTGCGGGTGCTGGACTGCACTGGGGTGCAGGCAATGCTGGGGGGCTCAGAGGCGGGAGTTGCTGGTGGGTACGGGGGCGGTGATAGGCAGGAGATGCTGCACCCCAGAGAGAAGGAACAACAGCCCCAGCTCCCGTATTCCCATTGACCGTCTGGCCCAGATGGCTGGGGTGAGGGGCAGCCCCCCAACAAACACCAAAGGGCCCAGGTGTGGGGGAAGGGAAGACAGCCCCTAACCTTCACCGCAACCGGGGGGACCTGCTGGGCCGCCCCTCTCCGCGGGCCAGTCTCCCTGCTGTGGGGCACAGGCCGGCAGGCTCAAGGGTGGGTCCCCCCCTCGCCGGGCTCTTGCACTGCAGCTTGGGGGGCCCAGGGCTCCTGCAAGCCCCCCAGTGGGGCTGGGCACTCAGCACAAGCCTGCAGGTGGGGGAGCAGCCCCTCGGTCTCTAGTCCAGGCAGTGGGGCAGGTGCAGGCTGGGGCCCACCCGGTGCCCCTCAGCTACTGCAGGTAGCGATAGGCCTTGAAACAGTGGTTGCCCGAGTCGGCCACCACCACGTGTCCGTCCGAGGTGAGCGCCAGGCCCTGCGGCCCATACAGCGGGTCGGCCAGCGTGTTGATGTAGGACAGGAAGGAGCCTGAGCTGTCGAAGACCTGCCGAGAGAGGGGACTGTGACAAACCTGAGGGACGGTCTCAGACTGAGGCGGTTCTGGAACAAACTGATGAATTTAAACAGCAATAAGTCACCAGGAGCAGGTGGTCACCCAAGAGTTCTGAAGGAACTGTGAAATTGCAGAACTACTCTGTAACCTATCGCTTACATCAGCTTCTGTCCCAGATGGCTGGAGGAGAGCTAATGTGACACCAATTTTTAAAAAGGGCTCCGGAGGAGACCCTGGCAACTACAGGCCAATAAGCCTGACTTCAGTACCGGGCAAACTGGTTGAAACTAAAGAAAAGAACAAAATTGTCGGACACAGAGATGAACGTAATTTGTTGGGAAATAGTCAACATGGTTTTTGTAAAGGGAAATCATGCCTCACTAATTTACTAGAATTGTTTGAGGGGATCAACACGCACGCGGATAAGGGTGATCCAGTGGATACAGTGTGTTTAGATTTTCAGAAAGCCTTTGACAAGGTCCCTCACCAAAGGCTCTTAAGCAAAGTAAGCTGTCATGGGATAAGGGGGAAGGTCCTCTCATGAATTGGTAACTGGTTAAAAGACAGGAAACAAAGGGTAGGAATAAATGGTCGGTTTTCAGAATGGAGAGAGGTGAATAGTGGTGTCCTCCAGGGGTCTGTATGGGGCCCAGTCCTATTCAATATATTCATAAATGATCTGGAAAAAGGGGTAAACAGTAGGGCTGTCAATTAATCGCAGTTAACTCACGCGATTAACTAAAAAAATATTAATCACGATTAATCGCAGCTTTAATCACACTGTTAAACAATAGAATTCCAATTGCAATTAATTAAATATTTTTGGATGTTTTTCTACGTTTTCAAATATATTGATTTCAATTACAGCACAGAATACAAAGTGTACAGTGCTCACTTTATATATATATATATTTTTTGTTACAAATACCTGCACTCTAAAAACAAAAGGAATTTTTCAATTCACCTCACAGAAGTACTGTAGTGCATTCTCTTTAGAGATGGTGTCCCTAGCCTCTGTTTGCCAGAAGCTGGGAATGGGCGACAGGAGATGGCTCACTTGATGATTCCCTATTCTGTTCATTCCCTCTGGGGCACCTGGCACTGGCCACTGTCAGAGACCGTCGTGCTGACCCAGTCTGGTCGTTCTTATGCTCTTTATCATGAAAGTGCAACTTACAAATGTAGGTTTTTTTTGTTATATAACTGCACTCAAAAACAAAACAATGCAAAACTTTAGAGCCTACAAGTCTAATTAGGCTAACTTCTTGTTCAGCCAATCGCTAAGACAAACAAGTGCGTTCACTTTTGTGGGAGATAATGCTGCCCACTTCTTGTTTACAATGTCACCTGGAAGTGAGAACAGGCATTCACATGGGACTTTTGTAGATGGCATTGCAAGGTATTTACGTGCTAGATATTAAACATTTGTATGCCTCTTCATGCTTTGGCCACCATGTGATGTTATTGACATAATCTGTAACCATTTAGATCACGGTTGCAACCACTCTCATATATTTGCAGCAAATATTGTACAAAGGTTATCATATAAGGCGTCTACGACAAGGTTATGTGTTGCTGGTTAGGATGATGCTGCCTGTTTGCACATATCATTTTGTATTTAAAGATATAAGTATTGGCTCTAGACTGTCTCTATTTCAAACTTCTGCTGTGCTTCTGGGTGACACCCCAGACATCAGCTCTGCCTAGCCTGCTGGATGGCCCATTAAGGACCATCAGTGACACAAGTGACCCATTGAGAGAAGGCAGACATGCCTTGGGACTCAGCAAGGCGTGCAGGGACCTGCCTAGGGACAAAACTGAGGTTTTTTCATGCCATGTGCTGGAATGATTGTCTTAGAAAGAAAGAAAGAAAGAAAGAAAGAAAGAAAGAAAGAAAGAAAGAAAGGCCACATGACAAGAGACTATAAAACCCTGCTGCAGCTCCTCTGTCTTGTCTTCAGTCCTTCTTGCCTCTGGAGGGACTTCGCTACAAAAGGAAGCTCTACACAAAGGACTGAACGACCCATCCCAGCTGGGGATGTTCTCCAGAGACTTAATTTGAACCTGCCGTTTATTCCATCACTGCTACAAGCCTGAACCAAGAACTTTGACATTGCTGTGTGTCATTGATTCCATTTCACCAGTTCTAGCTCTCATCGCTCTCTTATTCCTTTTATGAATAAACCTTTAGATTTTAGATTCGAAAGGATTGGCAACAGCGTGATTTGTGGGTAAGATCTGATTTGTATATTGACCTGGGTCTGGGGCTTGGTCCTTTGGGATCGAGAGAACCTTTTTCCTTTTACTGGGGTATTGGTTTTCATAACCATTCGACCCCATAACGAGGGGCACTGGTGGGGATACTGGAGTGTCTGAGGGAATTGCTTGTGTGACTTACGTCTGACTTATGGGCAAAACCAAAGTCTTCTCTGTCTGGCTGGTTTGGTTTGCCTTGATGTGCATAGAAACCCTAGCCTTGGGCTGTAACTGCCCTGCTTGAAGCAATTTGTCCTGAATTGGCACTCTCAGCTGGGTCCCGCCAAAGCCAGCATTGTTACACACCATTCAAAAGACATGCTTCCATGCTGATGATGCTCGTTAAAAAAAATAATCCATTAATTAAATTTGTGACTGAACTCCTTGGGGGAGAATTGTATGTCTCCTGCTCTGTTTTACCTGGATTCTGCCATATATTTCATGTTATAGCAGTCTCAGATAATGACCCAGCACGTAGAAACATAGAAGATTAGGGTTGCAAGGGACCTCAGGAGGTCATCTAGTCCCACCCCCTGCTCAAAGCAGGACCAACCCCTAAATCATCCCAGCCAGGGCTTTGTCAAGCCGGGTCTTAAAAGCCTCTAAGGATGGAGATTCCACCGCCTCCCTAGGTAACGCATTCCAGTGCTTTACCACCCACCTAGTGAAAAAGGTTTTCCTAATATCCAACCTAGACCGCCCCCACTGCAACTTGAGACCATTACTCCTCGTTCTGTCATCTGCTATCACTGAGAACAGTCTAGATCCATCCTCTTTGGACCCCCCTGGCAGGTAGTTGAAGGCTGCTATCAAATCCCCCCTCATTCTTCTCTTCTGCTGACTAAATAACCCCAGTTCCCTCAGCCTCTCCTCATACGTCATATCCCCCAGCCCCCTAATAATTTTCGTTGCCCTCCACTGGACTCTCTTCAATTTGTCCACATCCTTTCTGTAGCAGGGGGCCCAAAACTGGACGCAATACTCCAGGGGTGGCCTCACCAGTGCTGAATAGAGGGGAATAATCACTTCCCTTGATCTGCTGGCAGTGCTCCTACCAATATAGCCCAATTTGCCGTTAGCCTTCTTGGCAACAAGGGCACACTGTTGACTCATATCCAGCTTCTCGTCCACTGTAATCCCCAGGTCCTTTTCTGCAAAACTGCTGTTTAGCCAGTCGATCCCCAGCCTGTAGCAGTGCATGGGATTCTTCCGTCCTAAGTGCAGGACTCTGCACTTGTCCTTGTTGAACCTCATCAGATTTCTTTTGGCCCAATCCTCCAATTTGTCTAGGTCACTCTGGACCCTATCCTTACCCTCCAGCGTATCTATCTCTCCCCCGAACTTAGTGTCATCCACAAACTTGCTGAGTGTGTAATCCATCCCATCCTCCAGATCATTAATAAAGATGTTGAACAAAACCGGCCCCAGGACCGACCCTTGGGGCACTCCACTTGATACCAGCTGCCAACTAGAGATTGAGCTGTTGATCACTACCCGTTGAGCCCAACGATCTAGCCAGCTTTCTATCCACCTTATAGTCCATTCATCCAATCCATACTTTATTAACTTGCTGGCAAGAATACTGTGGGAGACCGTATCAAAAGCTTTGCTAAAGTCAAGATATATCACATCCACCACTTTTCCCATATCCACAGAGCCAGTTATCTCATCACAGAAGGCAATCAGGTTGGTCAGGCATGACTTGCCCTTGGTGAATCCATGCTGACTCTTCCTGATCACCTTCCGCTCCTCCAAGTGCTTCAAAATGGATTCCTTGAGGACCTGCTCCGTGATTTTTCAGCGACTGAGGTGAGGCTGACCAGTCTGTTCGTTTTAAGAACACTTTCACTGCAGATTTGACAAAACGCAAAGAAGGTACCAATGTGCAATTTCTAAAGATAGCTACCGCACTCGACACAAGGTTTAAGAATCTGAAGCGCCTTCCAAAATCTGAGAGGGACGAGGTGTGGAGCAAACTTTCAAAAGCCTTAAAAAAGCAACACGCCGAGGAGAAAACTACAGAACCTGAACCACCAAAAAAGAAAATCAACCTTCTGCTGGTGGCATCTGACTCAGAGGATGAAAATGAACATGCGTCGGTCCGCTCTGCTTTGGATCGTTATTGAGCAGCACCTGTCATCAGCAAGGACGCGTGTCCCCTGGAATGGTGGTTGAAGCACGAAGGGACATAAGAATCTTTAGCGCATCTGGCACGTAAATATCTTGCTACACCAGTTACAAAAGTCCCATGCGAATGCCTGTTCTCACTTCCAGGTGACACTGTAAACAAGAAGTGGGCAGCATTATCTCCCACAAAAGTGAACACTTTTGAGCGATTGGCTGAACAAGAAGTAGGACTGAGTGGATAGGCTCTAACGTTTTACATTGTTTTGTTTTTTAATGCAGTTATTTTTGTACATAATTCTACATGTGTAAGTTCAACTTTCAGGATAAAGAGATTGCGCTACAGTCCTTGTAATGGGGGAACTGAAAAATGCTATCTTATTTTTTTTACAGTGGAAATATTTGTAATCAGAAATAAAGTGAGCACTGTGCACTTTATATTCTGTGCTGTAACTGAAATCAATATATTTGAAAATGAAAAAAATCCATAAATATTTCAATAAATTGAATTCTATTATTGTTTAACAGTGTGATTAATCACAATTAATGTTTTTAATCGCTCGACAGCCGTAGTAACCAGTGATGTGGCAAAATTTGCAGATGATACAAAACTGCTCAAGATAGTTAAGTCCTAGGCAGACTGCGAAGAGCTACAAAAGGATCTCACAAAACTGGGTGACTGGGCAACAAACTGACAGACGAAATTCAATGTTGATAACTGAAAAATAATGCACATTGGAAAACATAATCCCCGCTATCCATATAAAATGATGGGGTCTAAATTAGCTGTTACCACTCAAGAAAGATCTTGGAGTCATTGTGGATAGTTCTCTGAAAACATCCACTCAGTGTGCAGCGGCAGTCAAAAAAGCTAACAGAATGCTGGGAATCATTAAGAAAGGGAGAGATAAGACGACAGAAAATATCAGATTGCCCCATCTAAATCCATGGTACGCCCACACCTTGAATACCGCGTGCAGATGTGGTTGCCATATCTCAAAAGTCAACAAAATTGATTAGGGGTCTGGATCCGTATGAGGAAAGATTAATAACACTGGGACTTTTCAGTTTGGAAAAGAGACGACTAAGGGGGGATATGATAGAGGTCTATAAACTCATGACTGGTGTGAAGACAGTAAATAAGGAAGTGTTATTTACTCCTCATAACACAAGAACTAGGGGTCACCAAATGAAATTAACAGGCAGCAGGTTTAAAAGAAACAAAAGGAAGTATTTCTTCACACAACGCACAGTTAACCTGTGGAACTCCTTGCCAGAGGATGTTGTGAAGGCCAAGACCATAATCAGGGTTCAAAAAAGAACTAGCTAAGTTCATGGGGGATAGGTCCATCAATGACTATTAGCCAGGATGGGCAGGGTTGGTGTCCCTCGCCTCTGTTTGCCAGAAGCTAGGAATGGGCGACAGGGGATGGATCACTTGATGATTACCTGTTCAGTTCATTCCCTCTGGGGCACCTGGCATAGGCCACTGTCGGAAGACAGGATACTGGGCTGGATGGACCTTTGGTATGACCCAGTCTGGCCGATCTTTTGTTCTTATGTACTGCAGAGCCGTAGCACCACCCCCCAACAGGGTCTCCTCACCCCCCGGAACAACCTAGGCCCCTGCCCTGCCCTGCACAGTGCCAGGCCTGTGGGGGGTCTGAGCCACATCCTGGATTGCTACCCACCAGTGCCAGTCACAAGCTGGGCAGCCCTGGGGACAGCCTCATGGACCAGGGGAATCCCCTCCTGCTCCACATGTCACAAGCCTACGGAACTCACTGCCACCAGATACAAAGGGGCCGGGCACTTAGAGTCAAGGAGGGATGGGGCATTTCTCTAATGTCGGAGAAGTGAATGCCAATGTGTGAGGGGAGGGGAGGAACTGCTGCATCGGGGCAGGACCACCAGCCTGGCAGGTTCCCAGTGCCCCCCATGCAAGTCCCGGCCCTCGCGCCCTACCTGGATCCGGCTGTTGCCCCAGTCGGCCACGATGATGTTGCCGTTGGAATCCACGGCCACGCCGGTGGGAGCGTTGAACTGCCCGTTCCCCTCCCCGTGTGAGCCAAACTTGAAGAGGAACTCACCATCGGCGCTGTACACCTGGGGGAAGGAGAGGGGCTTGTCACCCCGCCAGCCACCACAGGGAGCCCCCGACCCAGCGCTTGGCTGGCAGGGACCCAGCCGGCTGGGACTGTGCCAGCACAGAAGGGCTAAGAGCTGGAACCTGGAGGAGGCGTTGGCTCGATGGAGGGCCACCACGGGCCGGGGAGCACCGGAGCGCGGGAGCGGGGCAGGTGGAAGGCGTGAGCAGGCCAAGGGGCCGGCAGGGGCCAGGCTGGGGCCTGGGGACCGGCAGCGAGGGAAAGGTCAACTCCGCGTTCCATGGCAGACGGGCTGGGTGGCGACCTCTTAACCGCTGCTGCTCTTGGCTCCCCAAGGTCGCCCACGCTGGGGCCGGGACTGGTGAACCCTGCACTGCCCTCAGCTGGGCGGGGGGCCCTCCGCAGGGACACGGCTCCCCATGGCCCATTGTGGCAGGAGGCGCTGGGCAGAGCGCAGCCGGGACGCAGGTGGCTGGAGCCCAGGGGCTCAGTCTCTGGGGTGCTGAGGCAGTGTGTGCCGAGGAGAGCGGGATCCCGGGGGACTGGCCTGCAGAAGAGTTCCTCCCAGGGCCAGTCCTGTGGCTAGGTGCCGGGGTGCGGGCAGGGCCAGGTGTGATGAAGTGGGGCTGTTCTTAATGTTTCCTCTGAATACTGTAGGGGTGCCTCAGTTTCCCCTAGGCATTTCTTAAATCTCTAGGGGGTGGAAATAAGGGGGTGTAATTGTTGCAGAGCAAAGGGCCAGGGTACATAAATGGCCGACACTCTGTCTCCTGGCAACTGATGGCCTGGGCTCTTGCCCCCTGCAAGGTGAGAGCTAAAGGGTTGGAGAACAAAGGAATCAGGAGACCTCCTGGCCCGAGAAAGGGACAAAGCCCAGAGGAGGAGGGGCTGGAGAGAGCTTCAGTTGGGGGCAGGCTGGGGACGTGGAGTGAAGTGCAGATGGGGTTGTCTGGCTCACTGCCCCCCAAAATGGACTCGACTGAGGGGTCCTGTTCTCTGCACCTACAAGCTCTGGTTTAGACCATGTTCCTGTCATCTAATAAACCTTCTGTTTTACTGGCTGGCTGAGAGTCACGTCTGACTGCGGAGTTGGGGTGCAGGACCCTCCGGCTTCCCCAGGACCCCGCCTGGGTAGACTCGCTGTGGGAAGCGCACGGAGGGGCAGAGGAGGCTGAATGCTCCGAGGTCAGACCCAGGAAGGTGGAAGCCGTGTGAGCTGTGTGTCCTGCAGACAGGCTGCTGACAGAGAGGAGACTTTCTCAGAGTCCTGACTGGCTTCATAGGGAGCAGTTCCAGAGCATCGCCCGGGGACCCCGTGACACCAGGGCCCGACTCTCACCTTCACCGAGTGGTTGTGGAAGTCGGTCACTACGATCTCGTTCTTGTTGTTAACAGCGACGAAGTGGGGCCCTGGGAGGAGAGAAAGAAACCCCTGAACCTGCCTCAGCGCATGGGGCTGGGGCGGGCTCTGCTCGTCGGGGCAGGAGCCAGCTGGGGGCAGCTGGGGCAGGGGGAACCAGTGCCTGCCTCATGGCAGGGCAGGTCTGTCACCCCATCAAATGCCCGCTCTCCTGGGGATGGGGCAGGGAGGGCACAAGCCAGGGGCAGTGGAAGGGCCCAGGCCAGGCCCTGGAGGTTAGTGCACAGTGAATGCTGTAAGGGTTCAGGAGCAGCTGGTCAGCCTGGGCACTGGGGTGGGTGTGTGAGGAAGGGCAGTTAGTGACCACAGCAGCTGCCAGACCCATTAGAGAGGGAGAGACTTCAGCAGGAAACACCAGCCCTGCAGGGCATCATGGCCATTCACAGAGGACAAGTGCTGAGAAAGGAGAGAAAAGAACCCAGGAGTCCTGACTCCCGGCCTGCCCCCTGCCCCGCCCCAACCCACCAGACCTCACTCCCCTCCCAGGTGGGATAGAACCCAGGAGTCCTGGCTCCCAGTCCCCCCCGCTCTAACCACTAGCCCCCACTCCCCTCCGAAGTGGGAGAGAACCCAGGAGTCCTGGCTCCCAGCCCCCCCTGCACTAACCACTAGCCCCCACTCCCCTCCCAGCCGGGATAGAACCCAGGAGTCCTGGCTCCCAGCCCCTCTTGCTCTAACCCACCAGACCCCAGTCCCCTCCCAGACAGGAGAGAACCCAGGAGTCCTGGCTCCCAGCCCCTCTTGCTCTAACCCACCAGACCCCACTCCCTTCCCAGACAGGAGAGAACCCAGGAGTCCTGGCCCCCAGTCTCGCACTCAGGCCACAAGTGTGCGCTGCCTGTCCAAGCGCCCGGTAGCCCAGCGGAGTGAAGGTCACCAAACTCACCAGGCTGGCCCAGCAGGAAGCCAAAGGCATGCAGTAATAAGGACCTGCCGGTCGCGGTATTACCATCGAGGGTACCTGCAAACTGCCGCTCCGCCGTGCCGCGGCTGCCGAACTTGGTCACCAGCTTCCCGTTGGACTGGAAGATGAAGACGCAGCAGGCCTTGTTGTCCACCACGATGATGTGGCCATTGCGGTCCACGGCCACACCCTTGGGGCCCATCAGCCGCCCAGCCCCGATCTTCGTCTGCAGCGGCAGGGAGCGGGACATTGGATCACATGGCCTGGGGACTGGAACCTGTACGAGCCCTGCCTCACTCCCTCCACCCACCCCCGCGTCTGGAATGGGAACAGCCTCCAGCCCTCAGGGCTGGCATGTCCCCAATAACCTGTCCCTGAGGAAGGGCCCCCAGGCTGGGGGGTTAGACCCTGCTATTCAGCCCCCTCTGGTGTTGTTCTGCAGGCTTGTTATGGGGCACAAGAACGGCCAGACTGGGTCAGACCAAAGGTCCCTCTAGTCCAGTATCCTGTCTTCCGACAATGGCCAATGCCAGGTGCCCCAGAGGGAATGAACAGAACAGGGAATCACCAAGTGATCCCCCGTCGCTCATCCCCAGCTTCTGGCAAACAGAGGCTAGGGACACCATCCCTGCCCATCCTGGCTGATAGCCATTGATGGACCTATCTTCCATGAGCTTATCTAGTTCTTTTTTGAACCCTGTTATAGTCTTGGCCTTCACAACATCCTCTGGCAAGGAATTCCACAGGTTGACAGTGTGTGGTGTGAAAAAACCATGTTGACTCTTCCCCAACAAATTATGTTCATCTATCTTTCTGACAATTCTGTTCTTTACGATAGTTTCAACCAGTTTGCCTGCTACTGAAGTGAGGCTTACCAGCCTGTAATTGCCGGGATCACCTCTGGAGACCTTTTTAAAAATTGGTGTCACATTAGCTATCCTCCAGCCATCTGGGACAGAAGCTGATTTAAATGATAGGTTATAGTCTACAGTTAGTAGTCCTGCAATTTCACATTTGAGTCCCTTCAGAACTCTTGGGTGAATCCCATCGGGTCCTGATGACTTATTACTGTTTAGTTTAACAATTTGTTCCCAAACCTCCTCTAATGAAACCTCAATCTGGGACAGTTCTGCAGATTTGTCATCCTGCTCAGTTCCTGGCTCAGGGGACCTAGTGGCAGAGAGTTCCACAGGCCAGTTGTGAAGTGGATTTAGAAGTGTTTCATTTGCCCCAGTATACATTTGCTAACTGTCAGGGTCTCCCCTTCATTCCAGGGGGAAGGAGACACCCAAACCCACCTTCTCTGCCCCAGGCAGGTCTTTCTCTCCCTTGATCCCATCCCCTCTGGGCACTCACCAGCCCATCTGGTCATTCTCTGCCCTTCCCCCAACCCCTTGCCCAGCTGCCCTGCCCTCTCACCTTGAACTTGCCCTCGGGGGAGAAGATGCTGACCCAGCGGTTGTCATAGTCAGCTATGATGATGTCCCCATTCATGTCAACCGTGACACCGGTGGGGCGCTGCAGCTGCCCTGGGGAACGGCCCCGGACGCCGAAGCGCAGCCGGAACTGGCCCTCGTTGGAGAAGACCTGGCGGGAGCAGAGCAAGGCGGTTGGTGGGGTGAAGCTGGAAGGGAGAGAGAGGGGAGGGGGCTTGGAGCTGATGAGTCCCTACCTGCACACACTGGTTATTGCTGTCGGCCACCACGATGCGACCGGAGCTGGAGGTGGAGATGCCCTGCAGGTTGGTGAATTCCCCCTTCTCCCGGCCTCGGCTTCCTACAGGCAGAGCACAGGGTGAGGGGGCATCAGCCAGGGGAGCCAGGCAGGAGGGGCGTGGGGAGCAGGCACAGAATCACACCAGTGTAGGACCGGCGGGACTTGAGAGGTCCCTTGCTGCAATGGGACCTCCCTTGCTGCAATGTAAGCCAATTGCTTCTTGTCCTGTCCTCAGAAGTTAAGAAAAACAATTTTTCTCCCTCCTCCTTGTAAGAGCCTTTTAGGCACTTGAAAACTGTGATCATGTCTCTCTCAGTCTTCTCTTCTCCAGACTAAACAAACCCCATTTTTTCAATCTTCCCTCACAGGTCATGTTTTCTAGACCTTCCATCATTTTTGTTGCTCTTCTCTGGACTTTCTCCAATTTGTCCACATCCTTCCTGAAATGTGTCACCCAGAATGGGACACAATACTCCAGTTGAGGCCTAATCAGCACGGAGTAAAGCGGAAGAATTACTTCTCGTGTCTTGCTTACAACACTCCTGCTAATACATCCTAGAATGATGTTTGCTTTTTTTGCAACAGCATTACACTGTTGACTCATATTTAACTTGTGGTCCACTCTGACCCCCAGATCCGTTTCTGCAGTTCTCCTTCCTAGGCAGTCATTGCCCATTTTGTATGTGTGCAACTGATTGTTCCTTCCTAAGTGGGGTACTTTGCATTTGTCCTCATTGAATTTCATCCTATTTACTTCAGACCATTTCTCCAGGTTGTCCACAAACGTTTAAGTGCTCTCCCTATGCCAGTATCCAAATCATTAATGAAGATATCGAACGGCACCAGACCCAGGGCGGACTCCTGTGAGACCCCACTCAATATGCGGTCACATTCCCCAGGGTACAATCTTGATCTGTCCTTCCAGCTTGGAGTTCGGTTTTCCAAGCAGTCGCACACTCACCTTACAGGAGGTTTGTCTAGGCACACCTCCCTAGTTTGCTTATGAGAAGGCCATGAGCCTTATTAAAGCTGAGATATGTCACATCTCCCGCTTCCCCCCATCCACAAGGCTTGTTACCCTGTCGGAGAAGGAAATGAGGTTGGTGTGACACGATTTGTTCTTGACAAATCCATGCTGACTGTCACTTCTCACCTGATTCTCTTCTAGATGCTCAAAGACGGGCTGATTATTTGCTTCATTGCCACCGAGTGTCAGCTGTGATGCAGTGCTGAGCCGATCCGGCCTCCCTCGGGACCCTCTGGCTAAGTGCCGGGCTCAGCCGCGGCCTCCACATCGCCCCAGGCAGCCAGCAGACGAGGGGAGGCCTGAGGCTTTGCTGGGGGAGCCAGGCCGAGCTCCCAGCACTGATGCCCGGGGAGGGGGGGGGCACGGGCACTAAGGCGTTCCCTCCCCAGTGCTCACACCAAGGCCGCGCGGGGCGGGGGTCGGGGGGACGACTTGCTGATTTACACCCAGCCCCCAGGAGGGCAGGTGCTGCGTGGACACTGCGCTCTTTGTCGCCGGGCACCCCATCCGCTGGGCCCCTGCCGCACCAGCCTGTGCCCGGCTCACAATGGGGCAGGAGCTCAGACTAGCTCTGAGGACAGGCAAAGAGCAAGTTAAGAATGTAGACAGGTTAGCGGTCTTCCAGTCGGCAGGGCCTGATGAAACCCAGCCTAGAACACTCCAGGAGCTGGCTGAAGAGATCTCTGAGCCATTGGCCGTTAGCTTGGAGAACTTCTGGACGACCAGAGAGATCCCAGAAACTGGAAATGGTCAAGTATAGTTGTCAGGGATCCACAGGCCGGTGTCCTGGCCCAGCTCCGGGACAGGCCCTGGCAGTCCCCCTGCAGGCGTCAGCCCCCTCCGGGTCACACTTGCTGAGGTCAGCCCCTCGGCTCCCCCCTTCCCGGGACTGAACCTCGGAGCCCCCAGCCCCCACCGGGAGCTCCCTCAGCGAGTCCCCCTGGGTGGGACCCCGGTGGGAAACTTGTACCCCAAGAGAGCCGGGCACCCCCTGCCTGACTCTGCAGTGACTCAGCCAGCGGGTAACAGCAGGGGGTGACTGGTCGTCTGGACCCAGCGCAGGGAGTCCTGGGTTAGCACCAGGAATGGAAAGTTACAGCCTGGGCCAGCCGGGTCGGATCAGAGCCCAGAGCCCTCCAGCCCCTCTGTAATCCCCATCCACCAGCTTCTCCTTGTGCCACCCATGCTTATCACACCCCCCCAGACCCCTCCTCAACCCTCTGTCCTTCAGCTGGTCGCATCGGCTGGCTGCCTGTGGAGGGGGGCCCATCCCTGGGCATCAGTTGCTAGGTCCAGGCAGTTGTCTTCTGGGCCTCTCCATGGGACCAGGCCCCAGCCAGCCAGGCACAGTCAGATCTGGGTCTCTGCAAAGAGAAAATTCCCCTCCCCCGCAGCTAACCATGCAGCACATGGGGAAAGTGAGGCACACCCTGTGTTCATCCAAAATATGAAAAATTCCCACTCCATCACTTCAGGATCTATCTATAAACAGGGACATAACCCAGGGAATTACAGACCAGTCAGCTTAATCTGAGCTCCTGCCCCATTCACACTGAGGCTGGCTGTGTTCGTCATCTGATAGCTGCTTACGTTTGACCATAAGAACGGTCACACTGGGTCAGACCAAAGGTCCATCTAGCCCAGTATCCTGTCTTCCGACAATGGCTAGTGCCGGGTGCCCCAGAGGGAATGAACAGAACAGAGAATCATCAAGTGATCCATCCCCTGTCATCCAGTCCGAGCTTCTGGCCATCAGAGGCTAGGGACACCATCCCTGTTCATTCTGGCTATTAGCCATTGATGGACCTGTCCTCCATTAACTTATCTAGGTCTTTTTCGAACCCTGTTATAATCTTGGCCTTCACAACATCCTCTGGCAAGGAGTTCCACAGGTTGACAGTGTGTCGTGTGAAAAAATACTTTCTTTTGTTTGTTTTAAACCTGCTGCCTGTTAATTTCATTTGGTGACCCCTAATTCTTGTGTTATGAGAAGGAGTAAACAACACTTCCTTATTTACTTTCTCCACCCAGTCATAATTTTATAGACCTCGACCATATCCCCCCTTAGTCACCTCTTTTCCAAGCTGAAAAGTCCCAGTCTTATTAATCTCTCCTCATATGGAAGCTGTTCCACGCCCCTCATCATTAATGTTGCCTTTTTCTGAACCTTTTCCAATTCCAACATATCTTTTTTGAGATGGGGAAACCACACCTGCGCACAGTATTCAAGATGTGGGCATACCATGGATCTATCTAGAGGCAATATGATATTTTCTCTCGTCTTATCTCTCCCTTTCCTAATGATTCCCAACATTCTGTTTGCTTTTCTGACTGCCACTGCCCATTGAGTGGATGAAGTGAAAACTGAAACAAAACAGTTATTTAGCACTTCAGCCCTTGCTGTGTTTTCTGTTATTCTCTTTCCCTCTTCATTGAGTAACAGGCCTACCCTGTGCTTGGTCTTCCTCTTGCTTCTCATGTGTCTGTAAAACGTTTTCTTGTTACCCTCTATGTCCCTGGCTCATTTAATCTCATTTTGTGCCTTGTGTGACAAAGTGGGAATGTTCTTTATGTCTTCTCTGAACACAGTGTGTGCCTCAGTTTCCCCATGTGTTACTCAAGTACTGAGGTGGTGGGACAGGGTGTGTTATCATTGCAGAGACCCCCAGAGGGCAGGTGTGGCTGCTGATGGGCTGCGGAGAACGGCGAACACTCGGCAGCCTGGCAACTGCTGGCCAGGCCCCCTCCTCTGCAAGGACAGGCCGGGGTGTCGCCTGGTGGACCGGGGAAAGGGACAAAGGACGGAGGACAGCAATGGGCGTGATGGGGGCTGGGCAACTGGAAGCATTCTCCTGGTTGGGGACTCAGGGGCGAGGGCCCAGGGCTCTACCCCCCAACAGATGCACTTTGCTGAGGGTCCCCGATCCCGGTGCTACCAAGCTCTGTTCTACGCTGGGTTCCCGACGATAATAACCCGTCTGTGCCACATGCGGGCTGGGAGTCACGGCTGGCTGCAGCGTGGGGGGCAGGGCCTTTTGGGGGTGAGGCTCCCCAGGGGTCCCGCCCAGGGGGACTCGCTGCGGGGAGCTCATGGGGTGACCAGGGGGCTGAACGCTCCAAGGCCAGACTCAGGAGGCCCCAAAGCAGAGCAGGGTCCTTGCCCTGGGACAGGTGCCCTGAGGGCAGACGCTGCCCAGAGTCCTGCCTGGTGTCACTCAGAGCAGGGCCAGCGCCCCCAGCCTGGGCGCCCGGCACAGCCTGACCTGTCTCACTTTGTCCCCACTTGCTTGCATTGGTTTTTTACATTCATCTTGCGTGAGCTGACGCTGGGAAGACGCTGGCCATTTCTGGGAAGGCTGAGGAGGCCAATGAGGTCTGTGCCCCCTGCAGGACCCTCTCCCTGCTGTGGGTGCCACCCCTAGGCAAGCCCCCTACTCTCAATGGCCCCCAGTCCCCACAACCTCCCGGCCCTCGCGCTCACCCACGCGGAAGATGAGCTCGTCCTCAATGGGATTCTCCTTCTTCTTGCCGGTGCCGTACATGCTGGAGGGGCGCCGCACGGCCTTCTGCCGGATGTGCCCGCTGCTGGGGGACTTGACACGGCGCTTGACGTCGTCGGGCGAGGGGGGCACGTCGCAGGCCTTGAGGGCCTTGGTGCGGAAGGGGCTGCCCTTGATGGGCTGCCCATAGAGCAGGATGGAGAGCAGGAAGTCGCCCTCCTGCCGCGGCGTGTACACCAGCTCGTAGGTGCCGTTCTTGTTGTCCAGCACCTCGGCTTCGGCCCGGCTGCCGTCGGGCGCCGTCACCTGGGCCTGCAGGCTGGCGCTGCCGCTGCGTACCAGCGCTCCGGCCCTGTCCTTGGTGGTGATGGTGAGGGAGGAGGCCTGCCCCACCACTGCGTGCCGCAGCCCCTCGCCCGTGGCCACCGTCTTGTGGGCAATGGCGCTGGTGGTGATGAGCACGCCCAGGTTGAGGATGGACTTGCGGACGCCGTCCGTCTCCACCACGTAGTCCAGCTGGTCGTTCTCCTGTGGCTGCTCGGGGAACTCCTGGCTGGCCAGGGCGCTGAGCCGCTCACTCATCTGCTTCTTCACCAGCAGCACCTCGGTCTCCGTGCCATGGTGCAGCGCTTGCTCCGTGAAGGCGCAGCTGCTCAGGATATTCTCCTGGCCCTGCCGCAGGGCGTCCAGCTGGGCCTGCAGCACCTGGGGGAGGGGCACATCAGCCAGCGGGGCATGGGAGGGGCAGCAGGGCGGGGCGGGGCTGGGGGGCAGGATCAGCCAGCAGGGCACAGATGGGGCTGGGGGACAGGGGCAGGGGCAGCGGGGGGCAGGGGCAGCTTGAGGGCAGAGGCGGGGCAGGGCTGGGCTGGGCTTGGGGGCAGCCAGTGGGGCATGGATGGGGCTGGGCTGGGGCAGGGTCAGCTGAGGGGCAGGCGGCGGGGTGGGGCTGGGGGCAGGGGCAGCCATCGGGGCACGGCCAAGGCAGGGCCAGGTGGATGCCCAGCGACAAAATGCTCAGAGGGACAATGCTGCTCCCCCGGGGCACTTCCTTTTACTTGTCTCCCAAGTCGCTCTGCACGGTAGGGTCTATGGGGTGTATCTGCAGGGGGTGCTGGGGTAGAGCTATGGGGGTTCTGGGTGGGGCAGGCAGGGCTATCGGGGGCTCTGACAGAGTGGGAATTTTTTGTAATATTTAGATAAATCCGGTTCCCCTGTGTGCGTGGCTCACTAGGTGGTTGGCAGAGACCCAGAGATCGGCTGTGACAGCGCCTGGCTGCCTGGGGCCCGAGCCCACGGGAGCCCCACAAGACAACGGCCCTCCAACTGCCCGGACATTTGGCACCTAGCAACTAACGCCCGGGGATGGGCCCCGCTCGGCAGGGAGCCAGCCCCTGTGACCAGCCAGAGAGCAAAGGGCGGAGGAGGGGCCAGGGAGAGGGGTTGGGAAGTGGGGGGCTGCCGGAAGCAGGAGACGCTCCTGGACGGGGATTACAGAGGGGCCGGGGGGCTCTGATCCGACCCGGCTGGCCCGGGCTCTAACTCTCTGCGCTAGGTCCAGACCCCCAGGCACCCCCCTGCTGTTACCTGCTGGCTGAGTCACTGCAGAGTCAGGCAGGGGGATGCCCGGCTCTCTTGGGGTACAAGTCTCCTGCCGGGGTCCCACCCAGGGGGACTCACCAAGGGAGCTCCCGGCGTGAGCTCTGAGGGTCGGTCCCTGGGGAGGGAGCTGGGGGGCAGACCCTGGCCGGAGCAGGGCACCAGGCCGGTGAGCCGGACCAGAGGCACAGGGAGGGGCTGGGGTTACCTTCTGCTTGGCGCTGCAGGTGGCCTCCAGGTCACGCACGAGCAGCCCCTTGCGCTGCTGCAGGGCCTGCTCCAGCTCCGCGAAGGAGCCGCTGATCTCGCCCACGGCGGCGTTCTTCCGCTCGACGAGCTGCTTGCTGATCTCGGTCACCAGCCCGATGGCAGCCGTCAGCTGGGGCAGCCTGTGGGGGGGCGGGGCCGTCACCCACGGGGCAGCCCCCCTACACCCCGGCCCCCACGGGGCAGCCCCCCCTCACAGCCGTCAGCTGGGGCAGCCTGTGGGGGGGCGGGGCCGTCACCCACGGGGCAGCCCCCCCTACACCCCGGCCCCCACGGGGCAGCCCCCCCTCACAGGCGTCAGCTGGGGCAGCCTACAGGGGGGCGGGGCCGTCACCCACGGGGCAGCCCGCCCCTACACCCCGGCCCCCACGGGGCAGCCCCCCCTCACAGCCGTCAGCTGGGGCAGCCTACAGGGGGGCGGGGCCGTCACCCACGGGGCAGCCCCCCCTCACAGGCGTCAGCTGGGGCAGCCTGCAGGGGGGCGGGGCCGTCACCCACGGGGCAGCCCCCCCCTACACCCCGGCCCCCACGGGGCAGCCCCCCCTCACAGCTGTCAGCTGGGGTAGCCTGTGGGGGGGCGGGGCCGTCACCCATGGGGCAGCCCCCCTACACCCCGGCCCCCACGGGGCAGCCCCCCCTCACAGCCGTCAGCTGGGGTAGCCTGTGGGGGGGCGGGGCCGTCACCCACGGGGCAGCCCCCCCTACACCCCGGCCCCCACGGGGCAGCCCCCCCTCACAGCCATCAGCTGGGGTAGCCTACAGGGGGGCGGGGCCGTCACCCGTGGGGCAGCCCCCCCTACACCCCGGCCCCCACGGGGCAGCCCCCCCTCACAGCCGTCAGCTGGGGTAGCCTGTGGGGGGGCGGGGCCGTCACCCACGGGGCAGCCCCCCTACACCCCGGCCCCCACGGGGCAGCCCCCCCTCACAGCCATCAGCTGGGGTAGGCTGCAGGGGGGCGGGGCCGTCACCCACGGGGCAGCCCCCCTACACCCCGGCCCCCACGGGGCAGCCCCCCCTCACAGCCGTCAGCTGGGGTAGCCTGTGGGGGGGCGGGGCCGTCACCCACGGGGCAGCCCCCCTACACCCCGGCCCCCACGGGGCAGCCCCCCCTCACAGCCATCAGCTGGGGTAGCCTACAGGGGGGCGGGGCCGTCACCCATGGGGCAGCCCCCCCTACACCCCGGCCCCCACGGGGCAGCCCCCCCTCACAGCCGTCAGCTGGGGCAGCCTGTGGGGGGGCGGGGCCGTCACCCACGGGGCAGCCCCCCCTACACCCCGGCCCCCACGGGGCAGCCGCCCCTCACAGCCAGTTCCACACCTGGGAACCTCCCCTTGTGCAGGACACCAGCTCCCCCACCCCGCCCTCTCCCCAGCCCCCCATACCGGCTCTTGATGGCGTCGAGCTGCTCCTGCAGCGAGGCCTTGTGCTGCTCCACCACGTTGCGCAGGGGCACGGTGACGTGCTCCCGGTGCTCGCCCTCCGTGCACTCGCGGCACATGGCCGTCTCGCACGACTCGCAGTAGAACTCCATCACCTGGGGGCGGGCAGGGGCCGTCAGGGGCTGCCACTCCCCACGGCTGCAGGCCCCCCAGCCCTGGCTGTCCAGGTCCCGGGGGCGGGGCGGGGAGGAGGCTGGCACCAGGCCAGAAAGCCCCCCTCGCTCTGTCACTCCGCTCCCGGAGAAGTGGGGTCACCCTGCTCCCTCCCCTTCAGGGGCTCCTGCCCAGGCCACCTCCCCCAAGCCAGGCTGGCACCCAGCTCCCTGAAAAGTGGGGGCACCCTGGCCTGGCCCTTTCTCCTAGGGGCCCCCACCTCCCCAGGACGCGGGGTCACCCCGCCCCTCTCCCGGCCAGGGGCCCCCACCTCCCCAGGACGCGGGGTCACCCCGCCCCTCTCCCGGCCAGGGGCCCCCACCTTGCCCTCGTGGTTGGGGCAGGACAGCGGCTGGCCGGTGATGGCACTGACGGGGTCCAGCGTGGTGGCGTCCGGGCGGCTGCTGCCCTCGGGGGTGCGCTGCAGCACCTCCATGAGGTTGGTGATGAAGAAGTTGCTCTGGAGTGCGGCCACGCCCTGCTCCGGCAGGATGGAGGTCTGGCGGCACACGGGGCAAGACAGGGTGAGGCTCTGGGGCGGGATATAGTTCTGGAGACACCTGGGACAGAGCGGGCAAAACAAGAGGGTCAGGAGGTGCGGGCCAGGCTGAGGGCAGGCTGCAGGGAGCCCGGCTGGGCCAGCACCGGGACAAGTGGAGCCTACGAGGGTGGATCGGACAGACGGGGAAGGGATCCGGGCAGGGGGAGATGGACGGACGGGGGCAGAGAGGGAGGGAGAGACAAACAGTCGGACAGGGAGGGAGGAGATCCGGACAAACGAGTGCACGCCAGGCAGCGGGGTGATCCCAGAGACGAGCCAGCCATGAGCCCTGTGAATGGGGTGGGACAGACGGACGGACAGGTGAGTGGGTGCGGGACAGTGGGGAGCTAGGGGGAAGATGAGGCAGACGGAGATAAGTGAACATCACTCCAGGGGGGTGCAGAGGGTCACGCCCTGAGACACCCAAAATGAAGCTCCCCCCAGGCAGCTCTGATGGAAGGGGGGGCACCTGTCCCCTTCAAAATTCTTTCCCATCGCCCCTGGGCCAGCCCGGCCTGGTCGCTCTCCCCGGGCAAGAATCTCTCCGGCCACTGAGAGTTCCCAGAGCCCATCTCTGCCCCCACCTCTCTTCCACACCGGGGGGTGGATCCAGCGCAGTGCCCGGGAGGTCAGGGGGAATGGACCCAGTGCAGCGCCCGGGGGAGGGAGAGCAATACAGCGGTGCACAGACAATCCAGGAAGTTTTTGGAAAGCATCGGGGACAATTTCCTGGTGCAAGTGCTGGAGGAACCAACTAGGGGCAGAGCTCTTCTTGACCTGCTGCTCACAAACCAGGAAGAATTAGTAGGGGAAGCAAAAGTGGATGGGAACCTGAGAGGCAGTGACCATGAGATGGTCGAGTTCAGGATCCTGACACAGGGAAGAAAGGAGAGCAGCAGAATATGGACCCTGGACTTCAGGAAAGCAGACTTCGACTCCTTCAGGGAACAGATGGGTAGGATCCCCTGGGAGAACAACATGAGGGGGAAAGGAGTCCAGGAGAGCTGGCTGTATTTCAAAGAATCCCTATTGAGGTTACAGGGACAAACCATCCCGATGCGTCGAAAGAATAGTAAATATGGCAGGCGACCAGCTTGGCTTAACAGTGAAATCCTTGTTGATCTTAAACACAAAAAAGAAGCTCACAAGAAGTGGAAGATTGGACAAATGACCAGGGAAGAGTTTAAAATATTGCTCGGGCATGTAGGAATGAAATCAGGAGGGCCAAATCGCACCTGGAGCTGCAGCTAGCAAGAGATGTTAAGAGTAACAAGAAGGGTTTCTTCAGGTATGTTGGCAACAAGAAGAAAGTCAAGGAAAGTGTGGGCCCCTTACTGAATGAGGGAGGCAACCTAGTGACAGAGGATGTGGGAAAAAGCTAATGTACTCAATGCTTTTTTTGCCTCTGTCTTCACGAACAAGGTCAGCTCCCAGACTGCTGCGCTGGGCAGCACAGCATGGAGAGGAGGTGACCAGCCCTCTGTGGAGAAAGAAGTGGTTCGGGACTATTTAGAAAAGCTGGACGAGCACAAGTCCAAGGGTCCAGATGCGCTGCATCCAAGAGTGCTAAAGGAGTTGGCAGATGTGATTGCAGAGCCATTGGCCATTATCTTTGAAAACTCATGGAGATAGGGGGAAGTCCCGGGCGATTGGAAAAAGGCTAATGTAATGCCCATCTTTAAAAAAGGGAAGAAGGAGGATCCTGGGAACTACAGGCCAGTCAGCCTCACCTCAGTCCCTGGAAAAATCATGGAGCAGGTCCTCAAGGAATCAATCCTGAAGCACTTAGAGGAGAGGAAAGTGATCAGGAAGAGTCAGCATGGATTCACCAAGGGAAGGTCATGCCTGACTAATCTAATTGCCTTCTATGACGAGATAACTGGTTCTGTGGATGAAGGGACAGCAGTGGACGTGTTGTTCCTTGACTTTAGCAAAGTTTTTGACACAGTCTCCCACAGTATTCTTGCCAGCAAGTTAAAGAAGTATGGGCTGGATGAATGCACTATAAGGTGGGTAGAAAGTTGGCTAGATTGTCGGGCTCAACGGGTAGTGATCAATGGCTCCATGTCTAGTTGGCAGCCGGTATCAAGTGGAGTGCCCCAAGGGTCGGTCCTGGAGCCGGTTTTGTTCAATATCTTCATTAATGATCTGGAGGATGGTGTGGATTGCACCCGCAGCAAGTTTGCAGATGACACTAAACTGGGAGGAGTGGTAGATACGCTGGAGGGTAGGGATAGGATACAGAGGGACCTTGACAAATTAGAGGATTGGCCAAAAGAAATTTGATGAGGTTCAACAAGGACAAGTGCAGAGTCCTGCACTTAGGACGGAAGAATCCAATGCACCGCTACAGACTAGGGACCGAATGGCTCGGCAGCAGGTCTGCAGAAAAGGACCTAGGGGTGACAGTGGACGAGAAGCTGGATATGAGTCAGCAGTGTGCCCTTGTTGCCAAGAAGGCCAATGGCATTTTGGGATGTATAAGTAGGGGCATTGCCAGCAGATCGAGGGACGTGATCGTTCCCCTCTATTCGACATTGGTGAGGCCTCATCTGGAGTACTGTGTCCAGTTTTGGGCCCCACACTACAAGAAGAATGTGGAAAAATTGGAAAGAGTCCAGCGGAGGGCAACAAAAATGATTAGGGGACTGGAACACATGACTTATGAGGAGAGGCTGAGGGAGCTGGGATTGTTTAGTCTTCAGAAGAGAAGAATGAGGGGGGATTTGATAGCTGCTTTCAACTACCTGAAAGGGGGTTCCAAAGAGGATGGCTCTAGACTGTTCTCAATGGTAGCAGATGACAGAACGAGGAGTAATGGTCTCAAGTTGCAGTGGGGGAGGTTTAGGTTGGACTTTTTCACTAGGAGGGTGGTGAAACACTGGAATGCGTTACCTAGGGAGGTGGTGGAATCTCCTTACTTAGAAGTTTTTAAGGTCAGGCTTGATAAAACCCTGGCTGGGATGATTTAGTTGGGGATTGGTCCTGCTTTGAACAGGGGGTGGGACTAGATGACCTCCTGAGGTCCCTTCCAACCCTGATAGTCTCTGACCCAGCATGGCCCCGGGGGGGGCGGGGTCAGGGGAAGCAGACCCAGTGCAGTGCCTGGAGCTCACCTACCAGCACTAGGGGGCGCTGCCCAGAGCCTCGGGAAGGAACGTACCACCCCGACACCAGCACTGGGGGGCTGGGTGATAAAGAAAAGGAAGTGGAATTTAGGAGCATCTGTTCGATCTAGTTGTGATTGCTGTAAGCTGGTGGGATGATTCGCACAATTGCAGTGTTAGAGTCACTGGTTATAACCCATTGAGGAAGGGGTGAGTGTGCAAAAGAGGAAGGGGAGGGACTTTGTCAAAAATGGCATCACCTGTGTCCAAGTCACTGCTAACTCAGAAGACACATGATCCTGTTGAATGCGTGTAGATCAGTGTCCTAGGCGAAAAAGGCCCAGGTGGGGTGTTGGTACGTGTCTGTTCCAGACTCCAAATGACCCTCTGGATGCGCCTGGCTGCAGCGTGTAGGGAAAAGCACTGCATGCCACTGAATCTGCGTGATGCGCGCTGGAGCGTCCCATGCCAGTACGAGCAGCCCTTTGGAATCCCTAAGCACTGTAGAGGAGAATTTCCTAACTCCAACAGCACAGCACCGGCACGGGTCATGGGGAGAGGTTCTGTATTAGACCCTGGCCTAAGAGACAATGAAGAACTGATCACAGAACTCAAAGTTAATGGTAGCTTAGGTACAAGTGGTCATGACTTGATCCCATCTATAATGTGTAACAGAATGAAGTCCATGGTGCTTTCATAGGGCCAGTTTCACAAGGCTGAGAACAAAGCGAGAGGTGGAGGCCAGGTGCCCGGTTTGCCCAGGAAAGAGACAAAGGATGGAGGGGGGCAGCTGGAGGTGACTGAGGCTGGGCTGCAGGAGGTAAGTCAGTCTGCAGCTGGGGGACTGAAGAGAGGGAGCCCGAGGCTCTGCTCCCCCGCCCCCCCCTCCCCGCCACACCGCTCCCAGGGCTTTGCCCTGGTGACAGGTGCCCTGAGGGGAGATGTCGCACCAGAGTCCTGCCTGGCTTCATCCAGAGCCGTTCCAGAGCCCCAAGCCTCTGCTCTTGTGACAGTTTAACAGGGTCTATTTTCCATAAACCCATGCTGATTTGCATTAATTACATTTCCCTCCTTGTGTAAAGAGTTGTCACTTTGGATGGGCTATCACCAGCAGGAGAGTGAATTTGTGTGGGGGGGGTGGAGGGTGAGAAAACCTGGATTTGTGCTGGAAATGGCCCAACCTGATGATCACTTTAGATAAGCTATTACCAGCAGGACAGTGGGGTGGGAGGAGGTATTGTTTCATATTCTCTGTGTATATATAAAGTCTGCTGCAGTTTCCACGGTATGCATCCGATGAAGTGAGCTGTAGCTCACGAAAGCTCATGCTCAAATAAATTGGTTAGTCTCTAAGGTGCCACAAGTACTCCTTTTCTATTTCCCTCCTTTAGTTCTTTATGAATCAAGTGCTGTATCAGCCACTCCATTATCTTCCCTGTATTGATGTCAGGCTGACAGGCCTGTAATTACCTGTGTCAGCCCCTTTACCCTTTAAAAATATTGCCACATTAGTTTCTTCCAGTCTCGAACTTGTCAAAAATCAACATAACAGTCCAGCAAGCTCCTCATCCAGCTCTTTTAAAACTCTTGGGTGCAAGTTACATGGATCTGATGATTTTAAAATAGTAGCTGCTGTTTAACATCCTCCAGAGGCACTAGTGGGTGGAAAGAGTGTTAGCATCACCAAATGACCATGACCAAGTCACCTTCACCTTCTCTTTGTTCCGCTACCCAGACTGAGCTCCTCCAGTCTCTCACTCCAGGGAGCTCTGCAGCCCTTGAGTTATTCCCATCACTTTTCCAAGCCTTCTTCCATTCATCACCAGCCTTCCCCAATGGGGACCCCAGAACTGACACAGACAGCCAAGCGTGGGTCAGCCCCATGTGATAGGGCGGGTCTGAGGCCAGGCCG